CACCGCCCCAGGGGAGACCGCCCCCCTCCCCAGCGCCCTGTCCCCCCCCCCACTAGCCCAGGGGAGACTGCATCCCTCTCCAGAGCCCTGCACCCCCGTCCCCTCTAGCCCAGGGGAGACTGCATCCCTCTCCAGAGCCCTGCTCCCCCCCCCCCCCCCCTCTAGCCCAGGGGAGACTGCATCCCTCCCCAGAGCCCTGTCCCCCCCTCCCCCACTAGCCCAGGGGAGACTGCATCCCTCTCCAGAGACCTGTAACCCCCTCCCCCCTAGCCCAGGGGAGACTGCATCCCTCTCCAGAGACCTGTAACCCCCTCCCCCCTAGCCCAGGGGAGACTGCATCCCTCTCCAGAGACCTGTAACCCCCTCCCCCCTAGCCCAGGGGAGACTGCATCCCTGTCTCAGGCCCTGCACCCCCCCCACGGGGAAACTGCACCCCCACCTAGCCTAGAGAGGTGCTGCATCCTTCCCCAGGGCCTTGCAATAACCAAGGGAGACTGCACCCTTGCAGGGCTGACACCCCTCCCACCTAAGCTCGAGCAGACTGCATGCCTTCCGAAGGGACTGCACTTCCCCCCCCAGCCTAGGGGGCACTACACTCCTCCCCAGCACCCTGCAAACCCCAAGGGAGACTGCAGTCCACCTTAGCAGCCAGCACCCCCCACCTAGGCTAGGGGGTTCCCCCAGACTCGGCTGACTGCACCCCCCCCCCCAGGAGACTGCACCTCTTCCTAGGCCCCTGCATTCATTCCTCAGGCCCTCTGCTCCCCCACCCTCCAGCGGCCTGCACCGGGGCAGAGACTCGCACCACTTTCCCCCCCACCCCCACCCCTGAAATCCAGATATTACAATTTCTTGGCTTAATCCACACCTCTAATGGAGATCGCATCCCTACTGGGTGACTGATCACAGACTCTACATCCCCTTTACGTACCCCTAGGGATCGGCAAGGGCTGCCCGTGCCCTAGAGGAAAAGGCATCCATTCCTCCAGCGTCTAAACCCCCACCCCCCAAAAACACCTACACCCCAGAGATCTGCATCTACCTAAGGAATTACACCTCTCCAGACCTGCCCCGTGGGAAATTGCAAGCGCCTTTCCCCAGAGCCCCCTCACCCCATTCCCTAGTCCTCAGAGACCCTACACCCCTCCTGCTCCCAGGGCCCCGAGCTGGGGCTGGTTGGATAGAAGAAAGTTACTCTCCAGATGGAAGATATTATTCTGAGAAAAAAACTGTAGAGGGAAAACAACAAACAGTTCCGTACAGCTGGGGGCACGTTTGGCAACGCAACGCGGTGAGCGCGCAGGCGTAGGGAAGGTGCCCTCCCGTTCCGGCAAGAACAGCCCTTCCCTGGCTGCGCCCAATCCCAGCCCCGCTTGGTGAGGCTTGCGAGCCAGCGCTGGGGGGTGTCTCGGGGGGAAGGAGGAGGGATGCACTCAGCCAGGCGTTGGCTGCAGCCAGAATCCCAGACGCGCTGGAGAATTCAGACCCAAATTCCGTCTGGAAGGGTGATTTGTATTAGAGAAAGACAGGCCACCCTCTACCCCTCCCGCGTTGGGGAGAAGAGATGCAACAGGAACAGCACGCTAGACTACACTGTTAACATCCAGGCTATGTCTAGACTGGCACCCTTTTCCGGAAAAGCTTAAAACAGAAGGCTGTGTCTACATTGGCACCCTTTTCCGGAAAAGGGATGCTGATGAGACACTTCGGAATTGCAAATGCCGCGGGGGATTTAAATATCCCCCGCGGCATTTGCATGAACATGGCTGCCGCTTTTTTCCGGCTCGGGGCTTTGCTGGAGAAAA